TCGAAAATGTTTGACAGGCAAGTAGTAATTGACCATATTAAAACTTTCAAGCCTTGTAGTAGTCACTACCGAAGACATAATGCACCTAATATATTGTATTTACCTCGAGAGTTAACAGTAAATAAAATGTACTTGGATTTTTGCTCAAAAAATGGAACAAAATGCTGCCAAAATGCAACACTGTCAGTTTATTTATTAATTGTGATACTTTTATGATTATGAGTTATTTATTGTTTATACTAAATTAAAAAATTGAAAGCTGTGTTTTTCAATACTTAAATAAGTTTATAATATGTTCATGATATTTTTATTGAAAATAAGTTGTTGTTTAAATTTGCAAAGACTGCCAAAATGTAACACTGTCAATTTATTAATTAATTGTGATACTTTTAAAATGTTTCAGTTATAAATAAAGACTGCTTATAACAAAATATTAACATAATATTTGTTATGGTTATTTACTTAATATAATATTAACTCATATTAAACAATTAAAATATCACTTATAATTTAATATTAGAGATTTATTCAGATTTAATATAATTTATTTATGTTTTGAAAACCAAAATTAAAACACAGTAAAAGCCATTGCTGTGTTTTTAATTTTATCATACTATTTTATCCTCTTCCATTATCAAAATCAAAACAAAGTAACTGTCTTAACTCCTTGACAAAGACAGAAAATGACAAATTATTGATATCAAAAAATGTAGAAAATGGTCCTAATTCATTGATAAGTGAGGTTTCAGGTTTAAATTTTATGAGATAGATAGCGGCCTTTTGGTATTTACTGATATTGCTCTCCTGTAAAATTTTGTCAAACGTAGTTACTGTGTTATGTTTTTGGACAGCCGATACCTGTCCGATGCCCGTTTATATCACAGAATAGAGAAATCAGAATGGACACTGATAAGGAATTATACAAGAAGCACGGTCTTTAGAAGATAAGGTCCGACGACTACACGATTATAAAGAATCTTTCGTTCTTTATAATCGTGGACGAGTGGGACGACTATTATAGTATTTATCAGTAAGTTGTCCGCTTGTTGTAGCAAACTTAGTTCAATTGTTACTCACGAGCGCTGCAGGTTATACTTATTGAGGTTAAGAACTTCATAATTTATTCTTATTTAATATTTTGGTAAGGTTCAAAATTCCGCCAAAAATCTAAAATCAGCTGTTGAAGTTGAACTCCATAGAAAATAATTAAAATATTTATTTTTATTTACCGAGTAATTCACAATTGTATACGCTATTTTATTACAATCAGTTTTTTGTCGCTAAAAAATAAATTATGCCCAACAATATTTGTTTATTTGGTTGTAATACCAACAAAAAATTATCCGTGTTTTCCATTCCAAAAGACGAACTTTTAAAAAACGAATGGTTAAAATCCCTCGATGTTCCACATTTGTTTAATAATAATGTTGTCTGTGAAGAACATTTTCGTACAGACCAAATACAAAAAAAAAAGGATATATTTGATAAAGTGGGGAAAATTGTATGCTCAGTAAGTTATAGATGATAATATGTAAACTATATATAGTATTTATAAAGTATGCCTCATGAGTTATGAAAAATGATTGTTTAGGTTCCTTTGTTACGTCCTCGATTATTACCTAATGCAGTTCCTTTTAGGTTTTCTGCAAGGAAAAAATTGAAATTTGATAATACTGAAAAAAAAGTAAAGTAATTTATAAAAATATAATTACACATATTTATAATTAAGTATTACATTTTAATATTTATTAGACAGAGGAATTATTGATGGACTCTTGTAGTGGCAAAGTTGCAGAAACCAGTGTCCCTATATTTTCTGATATAGTAATTATAAATTAATAACTAATACATTTATTATTACAATTTTATATTTTGTTTAAATTAAACATTACATTTTAAGGATTACCAATGTGATCATGATAAAAATATAGTGGAGATAATGTTAGATCATAATTATTCTGCTAAGCCTAATGATAATTTACAATTAGATGATTCCGTTGCAAAGTACAATATTAATAAAACTATGATATACCAAGAAGTAAGAAATTTAAAACATTGATATAATCAAAATAATATATTTGTGTATAAATAATTACTTTCTTAAGTTTAAAATTTGAAATTAAATTTATTTATAAAATATGTCAACAACTATAAAAGAGCAAAATAATTCAATTTCATTTAATGAATTGAATACTTTAGACTTGCAGCTACCCCCTAACTGGCACAAAGCCTAACTGCCCATAACCGGCACAATCTTATGAAAAGAAGTACTTTGGCATATCCGAAATTATTTTTGTAGAAAATGAAGGCAAGTTAAATTCCTTTTTACGGAAAAGTATAATTGTAAGCCAAAGTTCAAAAATTACTTGCAATATTTTGGGGAAAAATATATGCAATGATAAATTAGTAAATGCCAATACTAATCTTGAAAGTATAGATCAGTTAAAAAGTTTAATTAAAGAAATGGCATTAACTGTATGCTCCAAATGTCTTACTTATAAAGGCCTTGTAGATTTTGGTGATGATTATAAAGAAAGTGATATAAATGAAAAGGCAACAAGTTGCTTAGTATTTATGTTCCAGCCACTTGCAGCCACTTATTCTCAACCTGTAGCCGTATTTGCATCTAGAGGACCTGTAGTCGGCACAGAGTTAGCAAAACTTATGTTGAAATGTATAATTCTGTTAGAGCAAGCAGGTGCTATTATACATGGATTTGTCTCTGATGGAGCTCAGACAAACAGAAAAATGTGGTCTGAACTTGGAATAAGTGGCCAAGTTAATTCCTTTAAAAATTGGTTTCAACACCCTCTTCATGAAAATCGGAAAATATATGCATTTTCTGATACACCTCATCTTTTTAAGAACGTCAGAAATAAATTATACAATGATAAAATATTGAAGTTAAGTTTGTATTATCTAATTATATACTGAAACTCGTTTTTTTGTTTAGTTCTAACAATTAATCTAATATTTATTTATTTAAAATATTATTTTTGTCTTTCATACTAGCTGAAACCCAGTAAAAGAATTCCTAAGAAATAAAAAAAAAAAATTATTAATCCTAATAAATTTAAGTCTATGTCAAGCACTGTAAATTTTATTTTTTATATATTATTCTGTATAGATTTGCATGTAGTTGTTCATTGGTGTTAAATAACTTAATATAGAAAATAGCAATGTGTAACTTTGTGTGTTATTATTTTAAATATTTGTTTTAACTAATTAATATTAATATGTGTTTATTTGTTAAATTTGCATGATCAATGGGAGCTATATTTTGTACCAAGGTATGTACTTTAGATAATAATCATAAAAAAAGGAAATTAATTAATTCTATTACCTTTATTTATGTAGATTAATGGTCAGTATATCCGTTGGAATCACATTAGTATTTTATACGAGCAAGATAGCAAATTACCAGGCAATTTAAGGGTTTGTCCAAAATTATCCAGAAACCATGTACATCTTAGTGTGTCTGATAAAATGAGAGTACGGCTAGCTACCCAAGTATACATTTTTTTTTTAAATTCATCTATACAATAAAATAATAATTAATACTTAATAGGTACTTAAATATTTAATAAATATACGATACCCATAGATTTTTGGTTTGTCTTTATACATAATTTAGGTGTTGAGTAATTCTGTTGCTAATGGCTTAATGTTTTATAAAAAATATAATATTCCTGGCTTAAATGATTGTGATCCAACATCCGAATTTTGTCAAAAGTTTAATGATTGTTTTGACGCACTGAACAGAAAATTTGGTGCTGAAGGACTAAGAGTTAACGGCAAAGATTTTCAGGTAAAAATAAATATTTTATTATGTTCATACAAAAATTAGATTAACATACATTTGCATACCTAAATAATTAAATTTAAAATTTACAGTTTCTTCTATAATTTTTGGTTTGGTTGAATGAATGGTAAAAACAATATACAGATGGCGAAGTAAAAATATCAGAATTTTTATCTGATAGCACTGCTTGTGGGCTAAGAATTACAATTCAATCTACTCTTGGTCTTTCTGGTTATTTAAAGTCATTCTGGAACTTTAAATATCTATTAACAGGGAAAATTAATCATGACAAACTTGAAGTAAGTACAGTCAGAAAGAAGTTGTAATAATCATTAATATTAAATAAAAATTATGTATTACCTAGATGTTTTTTGGAACAATTCGGCAAGCTGCTGGCCAAAATGATCATCCTTTAACCCCTAATTTTCTCCAATTGTATAAACTACTATCTACTTACAGCATTTTAAAGCCTCCCAAGAGTGGAAATTGTACTGTACATGATGATTCTCCATTAAAACCAATTATATCTATGACAGATTTGAAAGATATTTATCAACCTAAAAAATATGACTTGGTTGAAAATTTAAAAGCTAAATTAAACAATTTCATTGAAGAAAAAGAATGGGAATTCAATGATGTTGTTGAACATGATTATACTAAACCGGAAATTATAGATTGTTTAATTTATTATTTAACAGGTCATATTTTATTCATATTAACAATTTTAATTGATGCACAAAATAAAAAGTTTTAAAATTATTTCAGGTTACCTATCAAAACAGCTGTTGAAGTACATAAATGATTGTACAATTTGTAAGTCAGCTTTTGCCACTCCACAGGTTTATCCTCGGCAATTGTCTGCGACACTGGTCAAATATGAAAACCAAAGGGCGATTAATTCATCCAAATATATTTTTTTTCAATTTTATTCAGAAAATTGAAAAAAGTTTTATGAAACATTGTTCATCAACTCACGTTTTTGATCTAATAATTGATGATATGATCAATGAAAAGCACATAACAAATTTCTCCAGAGCACAGCTTCCTCCAAAAAAATGGTCGCTTATTATTGATAACATAATGAATGTCCAGAGCCTGTTTAATGTTTATATCATGGTAGTCACTATATGTCAGACGTGCGTGCTTAGATTGTTTAGACCTATTTATTTTTATTCATATTTTCGTAAATATTATAATAATGGACAGAAAAAGAAGCGATGTATGGAATCATTATTCGGTTATTGACAGTGGAATGGCTAAATGTTCGTATTGTTCAAATTCGGTGTCTTATAAAGGCGGATCAACTTCAAACTTAAGTAAACACTTAAAACGAAAACACATAATTCAAAATGAAAGTAGAAAACATCCTCGTATTAATGAAATGATTGAACAAAATGTTGACGAACCGAGTAAGCAAAATACACCAGAAACAAATAATGATCAAAACCAACCTTCTACATCAATCAATGCAATTAATGTCATAAATAAATCTCGTCCCATACAAAAAAGTGTATATTCGTATTTTATGAACGATAAACCACTTTCTGTTTCAAAACAAAACAAAATTGATGAACAACTAGCAGTTATGATTTCAAAAGAATTCCAACCTTTCAGTTTAGTTGAAAGTGTTGAATTTAAAAAATTCATATATTTATTAAATCCTGGGTATCTGGTACCATCAAGGAAAACTCTTTCAAAATCTATTTTACCACAGTTATATGAGAAAACAAAAGAAAAAGTTAGAAATAATTTATTGAATGCCAAATATATTTCATTTACAACTGATGGCTGGACTTCCATAAATAATGATAGTTTTATTGCTGTCACTGTACATTTTATCGATCCAGAAGAATGTGTTTTAAAAACATTTTTACTTGGATGTTTTAACGTGGTGGAATCCCACACAGCTCTAAATTTGTCATTATTTTTAAATAATTGTTTTAAAGACTGGAATATAACAGAAAAAGTAAAAGTTGCTGTGAGTGACAATGCTGCAAATATAACATCAGCAATCGGCATGAATCAAAATTGGCACCATATTCCCTGTTTAGCGCACACATTAGATCTAATTGCACAATCTGGACTAGGTGAAATAAAAAACGTTCACAAAAAAGTAAAATCCATCGTTGAATATTTTAAACGAAGTACAAAAGCAAATTTAAGACTTAAAAATGCACAAAAACAAATGGGATACCCGGAATTAAAGTTAATTCAAGACGTTTGTACGCGGTGGAACTCCACGTATGACATGTTTCAACGGTGTATCGATAATAAAGAACCTCTTATGTATACAATTGCAAAAATAGGTAATATGGATAATTTAGTACACGAAGACTTTGAACTAATAAAACACTACTGTGCGATATTTAAACCGTTTAAAGAAGTTACTATCGAACTAAGTAGCGAAAAAGGCATTTCGATTTCAAAAGTGTTAATTTTAATAAAAGCGTTACATTCACATATAAAAAATAAAGAAAAAGAACCAAATTTACCAAATGCTATACATTTGATGCTTTCTAAAATGGTAATAAAAGCAAATGCTAAATTTGAAAATATTGAAAACCAGTCTATTTTAACAGAAGCAACTATTTTAGACCCGCGGTTTAAAAAAGAAGCATTTAATAATCCGTATACATATCAAAAAACATACGAAAAGATAGTAAAAAAAGTTTCAAAAATTATTCGTTTAAATCAAAGTCCAGCAGAAAATGAAGAAAATGAGAAAACCATACCGACCTATCGAGAAAACGAAACTTCTGAAATTTGGCAACAGTTTGACTCTCAGGTACATACATTATATTACCATTGATATTTTGATATTTAAGTGATTTATAAAATTAGTTTATGATTTTTAGGTGTCTACTTCAATTTCAGTCAACACACCAACATCTGAGGCTATTGTGGAGTTGGATAGATATTTGAATGAACCTATACTAGACCGAAAATCAGATCCTCTTAAATGGTGGAATGACAGAAAAAAAATCTATCCAAATTTATTTGATTTTATGTTATTGCGTTTGTGTGTACCATCAACATCAGTTCCGAGTGAAAGGACCTTTTCAAAAGCTGACGACACCATTTCCGAAAGACGTAATAGATTTTCAACAAACAATTTGGAAATGTTGATATTTTTAAACAGTAATTATTAAATACTTTTATTTAATTTTTAATTTTTATCCATTTTAGGCTTAGGCAAGTAACTAAGTTAATTTTAGAAGTTTGAGTTTATTTATTTTATTGTTATTTTTTTTTTTTCCTAGGGTAAAGTGAAGTAATTTTTTTTTGTATTTTTACAATTATTTTTGCTGAAAATAAATATGTTTATTATTTATGTGGTTAGTTTTTTTTGAATCTGTAGTTTATTTAATATAATTGTAGCGATTGGAAATGGAAAAATATTAAAACGATGATAATTATGATTAAGCATTTCAAATGTATATTTATATAATGATTCATAGTATTGTAAACAATGTTTACAAAAACATAGTGCTTCTGATACAAATTTAATTATTTAAAGTTAATTTTTCCAGAATACAGTAAAATAGTGTTGTATAATGGGCCTACGAGCTACGAAGCATATTCGTTCATAAATATTAAATATCCATTGCAAGAATGAGTAAACATTTGAATATATGTATTTTTATCGTTCCGCGAGGAACTCTACGAATGTGAGTACAAGTGTAACTAAAGAAAGAATGTACCGATTGTACCAATGTAACGAGTATTTTGGAATCGGTACTTTATTTTGTAACTGTACCGATTGGAACGATTCCACAAAAGGAACGATAATTCCCACCAGTATTCGGAAGAAATATAAATATTTACTACTATGCTGTTAAGGAGATCACTGATTAGGCACCGTCTACAGAGCGATTAGGAAGAGAAGAAAGAAATCGGATATCAATTTTATAATGTCGAGAGGAAAGTGAGGTAATATTTAACGCGTAATGCACACTTGCAGGTAGTAATCATGGGTGAATATGTTCAATTTTGAGAAAATAGGCTGAGTGCGAAATTAATTTATTTTGAACCATCTTAAGCCTTAATACTTAAAGGGCCCTTAGCAAGATATTTTAATTATTTTATTGACATTAAAAGAAAAAAAATAATAGAAAATTTCATATAACTCATAACAAGTAGAAATATTTTGAAAATTTTATAATTTAGATATAGAAAATGATAAAATAAACAATTGATGAAAATTTCAAGCAAATACGGTATGATAATGTATAATTTATAATTGTATGAGAATTTGTTAATTTAGAGTGAATATAAAAATGTCTAGCTTCAAAATTGATTTTCCGGTAAACTTTTTTTTTGACGTCACATGTAAGAAAACTTAAGGGAAATCTATTATATTAAATTTGCAAAGCTTAGATAAAAATAGAATAATTTTATGTAGAAAAATATATATATTTTGTTTAACACTCACTATATTGATAATAAACATTAAATAAATAATAATATAATCATTAATCAAAGTAAAGTCAACTATATGATGATACAATAACACAATATGATTAAGGGGATAGCAGCACACATATTTTTCATACGTTTTAGACAAATAAGCTGTGGTAAATTACGCAAACCTACTTCGGAATGCCCAATTTAAACTTTTTATACATGTATAAACTCTTTGCCAAACATCTAGACTTTTTAGGAAGTCAATTTTAAATTTTAAAAAACCTTAAAACAAGGAATGTTTTCAAAAATTCCATGAAATAATTGCATTACATTTGTATTTACTTTGGGCACATCTGGTTTTAAATCAAAAAAGTGATTCCTAAAAAGCATAGTTTAAAAGGTTATTTATACTCAACCATTTTTTTTTTTGAAATTACAACAGTGGATTAAAAACAAAAAATGCCTCTATTTTTTCTATAACTTCAAAAATTAACCTACTGGATAGTAAATTAGAAAAAAAATACATATAAATACCAAATACAATGTATATAGTATATTTTTCTCAAAAATGTATATAATAACTTATAATTCATGAACATGTATCAATAATTATATTCAAACAATTAAGCAACCCCAGTACAAAATATACATGATAATTATTTATTGGTATTTTGTTGAATTGTTTAGGTTTCAATGTTTGTATAAAAACTTTTTGTAATCTTCTAAATTGTTATTGACATTCACATAGATTTTTTTATACTATTTTAGAAATTGAAAATATCAAAAAACATATAAATTAATTACATTTTTCTACTTTTTACCATTAACTTAAATAATAATATTAAGTTTTCAAAGTTAAAACTATTAATACAGTATTTTACAAATTAATAATCAAATGAGTCATAAAAATCAAGATTACTATAGTACTCATTCTCAGTACAATAGTCATCTTCATTATCATCATCAGTGGAATTATAATATGTAGCTTGTGGACTGTGATAGAATCTATATGGGTATCGATGTCCACTATATCCTGAATGGTAATGAGGAGATTGATGTCCTAAAAAAAAATGCATTCGATAAATATCTACATAATCAAATGTTATTCATCATATTAATATGTTAAATTTGTGTTTTGTTGAGGTAAAAAATCAATTTTCACTATTTTTCTTTGTGTTAGTATACTACTTACGGTAGGAACTTTGTGAATAATGACTAGATGTAGAAGTAGAAGGTTTTCTTAAAGTTTGGTCATATATTTTACGTTTCGTATAATCACATAATGTGTCAACAGCATTAGTAACAACTGACAAACATAAAAAAAAATATAAATTTATAATATGAACCTACTAAAAACATACAATATTATTTTTCTTTTTTACCTATAAAAACTTCTCCTGAACCCGGTGCAGAATTTTTATCCGGATGTAATAATAAAGCTAATTTCTTATATGCTTTTTTTATTTCAGGAATAGTTGCAGTAGTTTTAATGTTTAACATTGTGTAGTAATTTTGACTATTTTTCACCCTAAAAATTAAAATTAGTTAATTTGCAATTATTAAGTATTGACACTTCTAATTTGTTTTCAAAATACTTAGTAGTGATGTCTGGCAAATATGAATAACAAGGGTATTTACAACAGTAATTTAGCTGAATATGTATTTAATAATAAGAAAAAGTTGGTTTGATGAATACGAAAGTAGCACCAGACAAGATTTAGAATTCAGACCATAATAAATATATTTATAATTTGTATGATATTCTCTTTTTATAAATAATATTATAAACCTAATTGTAAGTATACCAAGTTTAAATAAAATAATATGTATCAATAATAATAATTGTATTAAAAATATTTAGTTATTAATAATTATAATAACATATTATTATGTATGTTTAAGTTTAATTAAAAAAATATCAATTTTGTGTATAATGAAGAATCTTTAACGGTTCCTTGGCTGTAGTTATAGATTAGAGGTCACCAATTAATATTTTTGGAGGTCAACATTGGGAATTTTGAAAATTTTAGGGGACCATCAAAATTTAAATCAATTATTTTTAACATATTATATTATAATGTAAAATTAAAGTGGCCTAGTGGCGTTAATAATAATAAATACAATAATAATGAGTCAAATAAAATACACATTTATAATAATTGTAATAGAAATAGAAAACTGGGTTAAAATTACAAATTTCACCATCAACTAACTGCTTGAAATTTGGTGTATGATTCGTGAACGAAATATGAGTACTTAATATTTTATATACCGGTTCTCAATTTTTGATATACGAAGTTCACTACTGGACATTTTTCGTCAAATGTTTTATGTGAAGTGATATCATATAATGACATTTAATATTGAAAACTTTTAAAACAGCTACTGTCTGGTAGCAAATCAAACAAACTGGCAAGGGCCCCTGAGCATATCTATGTACTTTAATATCGGTTTTTTTCTCTTCATTGTCTGCGGGCTGAATAAAAATTGTCCGAGGGCAGTAACAGACTTGCGTGACCACTGTTATAGATGATACAGTCTGATAACGACTATATATTTATATGGCATAATTAAGTTTAAAGTAAAAATGTTTGTGCACTTTATACTTTTGACTACAGAGTAGTTACGAACCTAAACTAGGCAAAACCCTGTAAATTGTCTCCATAACTATACACAACATAATTTGCGTACTTGATATACTCTATTGGTTTTTGTTTAAAAATATAAAAATGAATAAATTTATAGCCTATTGAAAATTATCAACTACTATATATAGTTACTTTTTAACAACATTTGCTTGTTCTTCTGTATAATCAGGCTTATTAGTATCTTTCATTTCTTGAAGCTGTTTTAAAAGTTCTAAAACAATAAATTGTTATTTTTTTTTTATTCTTAACCTGCATGTGTTTTCTCCTTCTTACACACGTACTGCATAGCAAATTTTTGCTAATTTCAGTAAGGTGAGATCAGTTTTGATATTAGAGTGACTCTACCTATTATCAAACTCTTAAGCAACAACATTATCAGTGTTCTCTCGTTGGTTTTTACAATATTTTAATTTTTAAGTGAGTTATGAATAGGTAAAACATTAAAATTTAAAAATGCTCATATTTCACTTAAAAATTAAAATATTGTAGAAAACCAACGAAAGATCACAGATAATGTTGTTACCTAAAAGTTTGATAATATTTCAATTCAGTCTAATATAAAAATTAACAGCAGACTATTGAAACTGGCAAATGAAAATTTGTTTGTTGTCCGTGTGTAAGATGATGACAACACATGCGGGTGCGATGTCCTCTTAAGTAGTATAGTATAATTTATTATGTTTACCATCAGCTCTGGACATTGGAAAAAGCTTGATTGATTTATGAATAAACTTTTCTGCTAGATCAAATTGTTTGCTTTGTAAGTATTCCTCTGCTTTTTCAAGACACTTGTAAGATTCATCTTTATTTATCTCTTTAAACATTTTATATGAATAAGTAGTACCTGTAACAATTATTTATGTTATTAATTAATTTCTTATAATTTTAATACTAATATCAGTTTGACAGTATATATACCTATGCCTTCATTTTTAATTAAATAAGCAGGTTTAGGTTTTTTTTAACCTAAGCTTTTATTTTTTGTTTAGGTGTAACCAAACCTTTTAACAATTTCTATAAAACTTATATAAATACAAGAAATATTGTACAAACTTGATTTGCAGCCCAATTTTTTCTTTTTTGGTGGTTGCTTAGTATCACAGTCAGTACTGGAAGATGAATTTGAATTATCACCATTATATGAAGAATCAGAATCATCTTTGAATATACAAATATAATTAGATAATGTGATACAATATATATTTTTAAGTTATACACACCTGATTGATTTCGTTTCATTGACCGTTGTTTAGAACGTTTCATTGATGATTTTAATTTTCTCATTAAACCTACAGAATATTGTTTTGGTTAATTTAATTCAAATACTATTCTTGTACTTCACTAAGCAAGATGTAATGATAAACAATAAGAAGGTGATGTATACAAATTTAGTGTATGATTTTATAATAATATGTTGATACAGAATACAAAGTTTATATAGATTGAAAATCCATGACACGCGGGCCTAAGATATCTAGCAAAAAATGAAAATACTTATGCCGGGTTGCATAAACAATCACTAAACATTTAATGAATCAATAGTGAGCTAAAGGTCCCTTTAAATATTATTTAAAAAATACAATAATAATAATACGTCATGCGTTTGAAATATTTTGTGTTACCTTCAATGTTGCACCCCTGTTATACATATAATATTTTTCATGATTTAATGGGAAGCAGAATAAAAAAAATCAGTTGACTTTTGGCATGTAATGTAAAAAAAAATTGCCATCCCCGGCATAGTTATTTATTAGTATACATATAAAATGAGTTTTAATTTCAGAAGTATATACAGAGTTACTGATAAAAGTAACCAAAAAATAGAGACAGATTTATTAGAAATAATTATTTATTTGGTCTTTTTCAATAATTCATAATATAATTAACTAGCTAATCGCTCACAGCATTGCCTATGACAAATTAAACTCCCATGGATTTACCCCTTCTAAAACTCAAATAAGTATAATTTGCGAGGTACACATGCTCTGGTATAGGGTAACCTATGCACCTACATTATTTTATCATGAATGAAATAGACATCCCATCCATTGTCATCTTATAAAATAACCATTATAATTATCTAAATTAGGTAGGCATATTAATAATTATGTATATCTACATATTATTATATGTATAATATATTAATATTATGTAAGTACCTACTTTATATTATAAAAGAGGAAATTATATCCCTACAGTGTGATCATAAGACATATTGGATAACATTTAAAATAACATAATATTGAAATATTACTATAATATACTAATACTTCATTAGCAGAGCTGGCCTTAGGTGTTTTGTCACCAGGTACGATTTAAAAATAGTCCACAATATTTAAAGTTAAAATACCGCCTATCCACTTAAAATTGACTAACTGCTTGCACATGCCTTAGGCCAGCCCTGTTGATTAGTTTCTGTTGTAAATAATAATTTTATCAAAGGTGTTAAGGTAACTCACGTTTTGTTTCCGATGATGGGTATAATTTGTTAGCTTTAACCGAAAATTTCCAAGCATTATCCAAATCCTTTTTTTTTATGTATATTCTAGTCAACTCAATGCAGCGGGAAGCCTCATCTCGGTTGCTTTCCATTGTACAGTATAATTAAAAACTAAATTATATCATTGAATTTAAAATAATAAATAACCAATGATAAATTAAAATTCGAGGTTTTAATTAATCATTTATCACTTGTTGGGTTACAATAGTAATAAGTATTGCATTAATTATGAAGAAATTAAATATTGTGTACAGGGGTTGTGTCAATTGTAACCGACCAGAAAAAACTATGAATAAACCACAAAATGTTGACCGGTTTGAAATGAACACAAATAAAGAATAATGATCATAATATTAATTTAATATTCTAATGACCTAAAATTTAATTTTTGATCCGCGAAATACGGAATCATAATGACTAAGTAATTATACTAATTATAGCTAACTATTAACTGTGGTAAAAAATTAAGAACATTGGCGACTTATGGCTTATCGTCGTCGTTTTGTTTTTGATTATTATTATTACCATTATCATCGCGGACATAATCGCAGAACAATATGGACCGGAAACTGCATGGCCGGCGGGGGTTGGGGGAAGGCCTCCAAAAGGTTCCTCACACAGGGGACTGAATGCTTTCAGCGCTTCCGGTGGTTTTATTTGGATCACATTTTGTAGATTATGTCTGCGGTTGACTCCATAGACGTAATATTCTATTATACGTCCTTACGTCTTATTATATGTTCATGTATACGTCTATGGTTGACTCTGTATTTGATGGCGTTGTAAGCTCTTAGCTCTCGGTCACCGATTCGACCCCCCACCCGCTCCGCGCGCTCTTGAATACACATTCGAAGCCACTGATAAGCAGCTCGTTTCCAGACGAGCGTCTCACCCTCACGCCAGCATGTCATTTTGGCATCCGGTGCGCGCGCATCGCGTCGGCCTCTGGCCTCCATTGAACTATATAATAAGTATAAAGTAAGTGTAAAAAAAAGTAAAGTATAAGTGCCGCTAGCACCACATCACTGTACGATGTTTTTTTCAAATTGGTGGCTCGGTGCAACAAAAATGCAATTTACTCAACCCTGTGACCCACTTGGGGAGGTGTTGCAGTGATGCGGTGCTAGCGGCACTCGTCGCTACGCTCCTCGGCGCCGTCGCTCCGCTCCGCAAATCGAAAATATCCCCCGACTTGCTGTGCAACACCTCCCCAAGTGGGTCACAGGGTTAAGAAAATTGTTTTGTGGAAAATTGTTTTGTGGAACAAAAGTAGTACTCCCCAAGTATAACATGAAATAAATAATATGATAACAATGCCAGAGGCCGACGTGATGCGCGCGCACCGGATGCCAAAATGACATGCTGGCAGCTGGCGTGAGACGCTCGTGTTTCCAGTCCATCGTATCTTGAATAATAATAATAATATGTTCTATGATGTTTATTGATGTTACCGTCAAGCAGTGAGTGCTGAGAACAAAATAATTTAAAATTTTTGTAAGGATCAGTGTGACCAATATTCAATTAAGACTTGTAACTCCATTTTGTTGTTGCTTGTTATGTTAATGTTTGCTGTTTGGTTCTTCGATACACCACCGATGATAACTGCACGAAAAATATCATTTTTATGCTCTTAGCTCATTGGCCATTGGCCCATTGGCAACGCTATGCACTGTTCAGTACTTCAGTATTAAATTCGGTATAATATTTTTCGTTTTAGTTTGTTGTAATTTGTAAGTTGTAAGTGGTTGCGGTTGCTGCTTGCCGTTGCCACTTGTTAGTACTTGGAAATTGTAATTGGTGGAGTCTTCTAAATTTAGTCGTTAATATCAATATTCAAGTTTTTTTCTTCCGATTTTCGTGCTCCGTGGTAAGTACAAGGTACCTATGCTAAATACGAAGTTCTCATTTGATCCATGACAAAATAATATTTGTCATGATTTGATCCACGGTCTTGTCCCCCTCACAAGACCGTGATCTGATATGAGACGTTGTTTCTCAAGAAGAGAGATATTTATAGATATGTTTTGTTTTTTTTTGGTTATGCATTAATCTTTTGTTATGGTTTTGATTTTATATTTAGACGTAAATATAGTAGTTTCCAATCATGGAATCCGACAAGTCGACTTTTCAACCCATAGACTTAGTGGGCAAAGTTATAATTAAAGTACGTGTCTATGGTGTACCTGTGCAATTTTAATCAACTCCATGTATAACAAAATTTATTTCCTCAGGTTCAATTAGGCGATGACATAAGAAAAGTGTTAATTCATAATGAATCTATAACGTATGATGAATTATTATTAATGATGCAACGAATATTTAATGGAAAACTAACAGCTAATGATGATCTCACCATCAAATACAAAGACGAAGGTGGAATTACCTTTTTTCATATTGCTTTAAAATTTAATAAAATCAATTAATTAATAATATAATGGTCAAATAAATTATGATTGTTTAAATATTGGAGGGTAATTATAACATTTTGTGTTTATTTTTAGATGGCGATTTGGTTACTGTATTTGATAGTCAAGACTTATCATTTGCTTTACAAACAAGTAGGGTCTTAAAATTGCAAGTATTTATGAATAATTTAAGCTATCAAGAACGACTGAAGTCAAAACTAAATCCTGACGAACTAAAAAAACAATTGCGAGAAATAAGAGATGCTGTGACATGGTTATTAGATACAATTGAAGTTACTAATGAAGGAAACAATAATAATATGTCAAATCCTATACGTAATTATAATCAATAATAAATTAGTATTTGTTGATCAATGTATTTATTTACTAATTATTGTATTAGAACAAGAACCAGTGAACGTTGCATCAGCAGAAATACCAACAGATAATGGAGTTACTAAAGAATTTGATCCATTACGTAATTCTAAAGAAGAACGTTCAAAAACTCCACAAACTTCACATCAGGTGAAATGTAAGTATTATTATCAAATGCGTTGTTTTATTTTATGTAGGTAATTATCAAATAAAAATATAGTTATAAGCTTAAATTATTTATTCCATTTATACTAAAATTAAAAGTATAATAATAAATAAATTTGGGATAGATTTGTTTTTCTGTGGGTTATCCTTTTTTAAAAAAAATTTTGATAATTGTACAATTTTAAAATTAAAAAGGTGGACAAGTACATTTGGTGGAAATTTCATGTATCGTTATCATCTTTCATAATCTAAAATTAACAATGATATTAATTCACAGAATTTTAATAGTTTGCATTTGTTTATTTTCTTGTTGGTAATATCCCTGATCATAAGGGAAAACTCCAAAACAGTACAAATATTGTTAGCTCTTATAAATAAGCTCTGCTTAGTAGTATTTTTTTCAGTAGCAGCTATTTATAATTACTTTAAAATTGATAATGTTAATTCACCATTACTATCCAGTAATAATGAGAAGACAATTCCTAACATACAGTCTGTATCCTGTTCTGGATTTTTAATTAGTAAAAATTTAAATTTTCATAGTTGTGTATATATTTAAATTATATGAATAACGGGAGTTCAATCATTTACCGCTGAATATCAAATATCGTAAAAATTATAAGCTTAAACATTCATAAAAAATTAATGTTCAGTATATGTATACTTTTTTTTTGTTATAGGTAGAAAATCTTATATAAACATATTTAATATTAGCTATGAAAAAAAATCATTTATGAATTTCTAACTGAAAAATAATTTACAAAATTTCAAAAATTTCTCATGGATATGTATGTAGCTATTTATATAGCTCAAATAGAGTGAAAATTTCAAAGGTCTACGGTAATAAAATTTTGAGTTACAACAAAAAATTAAAATAATTTTTTTTTTTTTTAAATTGGTTTTCCGTAAAAATTACCATTCACTTTTGTTTCTTGACACTTTTTAAAACTATTGGAATTTTAAATTTTGACTCCAAAGTACCAACTTGATTCACTTTTCTAACAAAAAAGCATTTTTACTTCCCGAAATGTTGCTGACCAACAGAAAAAAGGTGGGTAAGTGGATGTCGCTCTGCTGTACAGTAGGTTACAAGTGGGTCACTGTATAATTGATGCTATTAAATTTGAATTCAATGATACAATATCATTGTATAAGAAAAACGATTCTGAGCGAAGACGGTATGTCAGTCTAGGTTAAGACAAATTATATACATATCTATGGTATTAAAAAAAAATTGACCTATAATAAATTCCAAATTAATCATATCACATTATCACAATATCCATTAGGTACTTATAACACGTTATACACTAACAACAAACCCTGATACTATCATATATATATAATAGTAAACTTTAGAAGTTTCAAGTAGGTACCCACGAATAATATTATATAATCACAACAAAATAACTAGGTTTTTTAATATGTAATTTCGTCCAAATTTGAAAATAAAATGACTATAAAAATAAACTGTGATTGTATATTTTTTAGATTTTTCGGTAAGAGAATTAACTACTTACGTGGAATCTTGTTTTAAATTTTCAATCCTTAGCTATAAAAACTGAACATTTTATAATTTATTAATTACGATGATTAATAATTTTCGAGATTTTGAAAAATTCTGTCAAAATTCGATGTTAAAATGCTTATAAAAAAAAATTGTGCCTATGTATTTTTAATATTTTTCAACTAATATTGTAACAATATATCAGGAGCCTTGTATTAAATTTTTACACTTTTTGGCCCAACAGATAAAACTTAATTGATATTTATAGAAAAAAAAAACTAAAAAAATTGAAAACTGAAAATGTCCGTAAACGGCTCAAAAAGAGTCAAAATATTTTCAAAATTGTATGGTGTATAGGAAATGCTAATATAAACATTCAGTGAAATTTTCATGTATCTACAGTAATTCGTTTTTTAATTACAACAAAAAAAGGAAATTGCCACATGAGAAATCGAGTGAATATCCAATGTTGTAAAAATTTGAATTTCAAACGCTCATAAAAATTTAATTTGACTTTCCTGTAGAGATTTTTTTATTGATAAAGGTAGACAATCTTATGAGTAATCTTGTATTAGATTTTCAAATCTTAGATTTAAAAAGAAAAATTTTTACGAATTCTTAACTCAAAATAATTTGCTAA